AACAGAGTTCTCCTTTATAGTGTTAGTCCCTGTCATCAATGGAAACCCCATAGTTAATCGGGTAAAATTGAAAGTATATGTTTGATCCCTCGACCGTTGTTTTAAATACTTCTTCGTAGAGTGGGCTGCATATAACACCCACTTGCAATTCAATTTTGTAGGCGGGTTTGATGGCCTCTACAAGTGACCTTGACAGACAGATACAGCAGTTGAGAGAATGCAAATTAATTACCGAAAACGAAGTTAAGGCTCTTTGTGCAAAGGCGAGGGAAATCCTTATTGAAGAAAGCAATGTCCAGTGTGTGGATTCGCCAGTTACAGTAATTTACTGATACCTTAAAATAAATTAGTAGGTTTGCGGCGACATCCACGGGCAGTTTTTTGATCTCCTCAAGCTCTTTGAAGTCGGTGGTGATGTCCCAGATACAAATTATCTGTTCTTGGGGGATTTTGTGGACCGTGGCTACTATAGTATCGAGACTTTTCTCCTACTTCTGGCTCTCAAGGTAAACCACTGAATTTTTGTCTACTTTAAACAAGGTCAGGTATCCGGACAGGATTACTCTTATAAGAGGAAACCACGAAAGCCGACAGATCACAACAGTTTACGGATTTTACGACGAGTGCCTTCGAAAATATGGATCACCATTAGTCTGGCGTCAATGTACAGAAATATTTGATTACCTCTGTCTTTCCGCAATAATCGAGGATAAGGTATGCTGTTTCCCATACATTTAATCGCAGAAGTGCTAGCTGTTTTTGGTAGAAAATTTGCATCCTCGACTGTATCTGAAACTTAAAAACCCTGAATGAATGGCACTTGTTCGCAAATGGAACAACATGGTGTCTAACATAAGCACCGTAGAGCGTGTCTTAGCCAACTCGCAACAAACTATAAGACCTAACCAATGCCGTAAACCAGAAAGGGTGCCGACTGGCGTCCACAAAATTTTATGTATTGCTCATGCTAAATTACAAGTATTGATAACATTTGAAGGTCTTGACCCTTATTCCAAATCATATCGCTACAACTGACACGGGGTGGCATTTGTGGAAGGAGAGTTGTTACCTATCCGTTAATACCCCTACTTTGATGGCGATCAAGGTATAACCCATGTCCATCTGATCAGCTGACCTCAAATTTATGTTAAAAGATTTAGCTCTTCATGATAATTCTCGGCAAACTTAGCGTTTGGTTATCCAGAACACCTTCGATCGTCCAGTTATTGTCTACGAATGGCTGTGTTGTCTCCACCTGATGTGCGTGTACATTTTTCGGGTACCAACTCAGCTTCTGTCCTACTGCTAGTGGTCGCTGTTGTCTACACCTAATTACGACAGTCCTATTTTCCCTAATTACAGTCATTTTACGCGTCTTCTGATTACATTTAACAGCGGTGTTATCTGTTGATCTCCATCCTCGCTCATGATTAGTATATTTTCAGAGTGCAAGGTATAATAATGTATGCTATGAAATTTTTTAACGGGATATCTGCACAGCTGCTACTGAGCACTATCGTCTTCCAGCCGTACATAAACGTTTTTTACAACTGATTTTGATGGTCCTGTGCCGTTAACCTGACCAGAGGTCTATTGGCGGACAACCATGATTTGTGTATATGTAGACAACCTTAAAGACGCGTTTGGATTTCAGTCTCATGCGAGCACTTGCCTCAACCCCAGAACAGATTGCGGCAGTTCTTATGTCGAATACACTGGTGCTTACTGCTGATAATTGACGTTTAAGTTCTTGGTTGTAGTCCGATTATAATCCATCCATGGAAACCAAAGACTTCTGTATCTAATTTTAACTTCACAGAATGTAAAGGTCCCTTCAATGGTTCACCGTAGCAATTGCACTTTTTGATGGGGGTTGAGGCCAAGTTTACTCTGACACTGCAAAGTGTGTGTCCGAGCCATTTGATCAACAGCTCTTTTTCACTAACGATAAAAATCACAATCAACAATACATTCCGGTGTTTGGAGTGTGATCAGTTGGAGCTAGTGTTTTTTTAATAGTATCATACGTCACACATCAAATTGTGTCTATTCTTGGATACCTAGGGACGATAATTAGCACCAATAATGTCAACAACCTCTCAGTGCAGTTCCAAAGAATGGACCAAAACAAACTAGTCAACCATTTTGAGGTTACCTTTTCAGGCAGGAAAAAAGGGTAAGCTTTACGTAGGTCAAGATGTGTCAAACTCGTCTTCAAACCAGACAACTAATCCTGAGATCCTTCGCCGAGGGAAAAAAGCTTTCAGGCAAAACGCCCTCAAAATGACAGGGATACGGGAAAATGAACTTTTTCTTGAAACCACATCTTTTTTTATAGTAAAAAAAGCAAAGGATACTACGTAGTATTGTCAGATGCCAGCTCACATAGTCATGTAATACTGCGCTGGGGTTGATTTTCAGCTGATCGTGTCGCTACAGCAGGCTCTGATAGCACAACCATTTTAGTCGATATATTGCTAAACTCCAGTATCCGCCACAGTATTTAAAAGCTTCAGTGCATGTATGAGAGATATTTCCAAGCCACAAGTAACCACGCTGAATTCGAGAAAGCTTCGAAGTTTAAGCATGTACTCCAGTACACACAGAAAATGTCTAAAGATGGCGCCAGCAAACTCTCTAGAACATTTTCACGTAGGGGAGCAACAACAGAACAAATCCGTACTTATAAAAGGGTTGGCATAAGTCTATCGGTAGTCATTGATGCGAGTCTGCAGGTGACTGTGTAGGACAATATCTGATGTTTTGTTCACCCAAATGATAATTTGCGGAGTTTTTCGGTTATAGAGCTTGCTGTTTAAATATGCCCCGTACGATTTGAAACTTCTGGCAGTATAAATAGGACCCTCAACTATTTTGATGTGGACGTCTTTAGCGAAATGGCGTAATGTTTTGCGTTGTGATTTCTGGCATTCACGATCAGTCGAACCATTTCAAACTAATCCTGGCTATCCTACAAAAGTACTTAGGTTGTTCAAATTCCCCTCCTAAATGTGTTTTTTTTCAAAAAAATAACTGCCACATTTTAGATATTTTGTGTACACGGTGGCCTCTCCCCCCACATTGAAACGCTCGACCAAATTCGGACAATCGATCGTAAGCAAGAGGTACCTCATGAAGGTCCAATGTGTGATCTCCTCTGGTCCGATCCCGAAGATACCAACGGCTGGGGCGTCAGTCCCCGTGGGGCTGGATTCCTATTCGGCGCAGATACTGTCGCAAACTTTAATCGGGTACGTTTGTGTCTTACTTTATGAATAGCGCAACTTTCGCCTACCCATTTAAATTCCTCCCCGTTCGTCTGAAGTGAAGAGACAACAAATTATTGGTATTGTACCAAGTTCTTGTACGAAGAAGAATAATCATAATTCCCTGGAGGTCATTTATGTGTACAGCATCATTGGAAATCTAACTAAATGCGCGTCCTGAGATCTTACTATCACCTGGGACGAATAACACAACTAAATACCTATCCCTTGCCTACATTTTTCTTTATCGGTTTCCGAGGTTGGCTATCAAGTGAAAATATTGTGTTCCGTAGTTAGTCCATTGTTTTTGCTAAACACGCAGTTAATACTGTTTTCCTTTAAGTTGTACGCAAGTACTTGGCTCTGTTAAAGCTAGCCTAAGGTTAATTAATCGCATAAATCAAAGTGAATAATCCTGAACGGTGTAACGTTTCCGAATAATCTTCTAAGGACTAGAAGTGGGTTGTCAGGGGAGCTTAAAGGGCAGTCACTACGCGTGCCAAGGGCGAATGAATGCAAACGCTTAACTTAGTCTTCCAAAAGATTAACCCAATATCAACT